AAATCTTACTCTCTGCATTTTATTCCCGAAAATATCGTCGACAATCGGTGAGTTTTGGCCGATAACCGATTGGCCGATTTAATCGGGCCCCTATTCACCAATAAAGCCGGAGTATCCAACTATACAGTGGATGGTATTGGATTCACATTGAATACAGTTTTTTTTTACTACTTTATGTTAATTAAGTTTTACCTGTGAAGCTTAATTTGTCAGATATCTGGAGATATAAAGCAGGACAGTCAAATAAATTAGTTTCAATAGTATAGGAGTATAACGGAAAATAAAATGTGTGTATTTGAGTAAATCATCTTGGTGAGGATGTGAACTTTTAAAACAAATTAGTCTCATCACTGTAGATTTACAGTTAGTTCAGTTTTGTTGGGTTTTGCTGCACAGACTGCAGCCTGTTCAACACTGGCTCAATAATGATCGATCCTACAAACACGTGTGCGTGTGCGTGTGTGTGTGTGGACCAGGTGAGGCCTCTTTTGTCACACACACACAGAAAGCAGCTTTGCAGCGATGGAAACTGCTGGACGGGCTGCATGAAAAGAGTCACAGGGTCCCACAGACAGAGAGAGAGACCTGAATAATCAGATCTGCACCGAGGGACACTTTTAACCGCTGGTTCATTTGGAGGACAATAGACACACAACACAACAGGGACAGCTGGGCCATCAGGCGAAGAACAAACCACAAAAGCCGGGCATCATGCGGGATAAACGGCGGAGGAAGACAAACTTTGAAGACGCCAAACTTTTCCTTACCTCTGGTCCCAAGCAGCGACTCCTCTCCTCCTCTTTCTTCGCCGCTTTTCGCGTCTTTTCCTCGCTGTAAATCCCCCACTGTCTCTAAAATCAACGACCACAGACTTAAATCTGAAGTCACCGTGTAAACTCGCTCGTTAAAGCCGATATTTCCAGTTTTCCTCCGGTGTGGACTTCGTGTGCAGCCCCTCCGCTCAGCTGCTCCGCGCCGCTAAAAGTCAAGCCCGCTGCCGTCTGACTGTGCTGCCTTCACGGACTGTCGGACATCTGTCAGTGCAGAAGATTGAGCGCGCATGGGCAGAAAAAACGTGACAGAGGAGAGAGGGCGGGCCGGATTTGTGGGCTAATTAAAAGCACATGAAAAATAAAGTTCCCGGATTCAAATTAGTGGATGTTTACAATCTAATTTGACTTGTTTAACTTCTTGTTATTTTGTTTACTTTACTAGTACCTGCCATTCAGCATGGATTATCTTACAACAATAGCTTTCATGAGAACATTTTTTTGAGATATCTTCAGCAAAGAGGCTCAGGTAGGGCTGGGCGATTAAAATCATAATGATATATGTCAAAAATTAATTTCCCTCAATATCAATATAAAACGTGGTCAATATGCTTTTCGATTGTCAGCATTCTGCCATGTTTTGGTAGACTATACGAACAGCAAATTAAAATGGGAGTTGCTCCGGGTCCACTTCGCGCTGAACCAATCATTCAATGAATTAGAACCAAGTAGCAAACAACTGTGTAGTAGCAGACAGCAGCTACACGCAACCACAGCACTTTTAAGGTCCTTTCACACCAGGACCATTTTTGTTGTGCGATTATTTCAGACGTCAGTGTTTTTTTTTCAAACCCGTATCCTGTCAATACAAGCGTTCACATCAGCGACGTTTTCCCGTCCTGCGATATTGCGGCATTAATTTTTTCGGATCACGGTCAATTTTTCTAAAGTTTTGCATACTGTGTGTCAGATTGCATGTTGTTGCGATGTCTGATTCACAGGTATATCCAAAATGGCCGACCGGCTGATTGTTTACGTGTCGGAGAACAGAGTGCTTTTTAATAAAAGACACAAATATTACAAAGATAACGACCTGAAGGACAACTTGTGGAGAGTCATAGCGTCGGATTTCTCATATGATGATAGTTTGTGTGCTTTAACAGTTTGCTAAACGTCTTTGTTTTGACCTTCATCTGTGCTAACGTGAGCTAACGGTTGTTACCACGGTTTCATGTGCTTATCTTATCGCCTCTGATTGGCTATAAGTGCTGACCGTTTGGCATGAGCGTGTAATGACGTTTCCAGCTTTTCTAGCCAATCAGAGGCGAAGGAGGCGGAAAGTCACAAAATCGCATCGGGCTTAGTGTGTAAAGTCAGGCGCGTCAAAATTCGCCTTTTTCGTAATTTCATGTTCTATATTCGGCTTGTACAAGGCTGTTAATAGATTCATTCTTGCTGTAAAGATGAGCTTTTTTAAATGTGTGTGTATGTGGTTTCCTGTGGTTTTGGAGCAAGCCTCAAGTGGACACTCAAGGAACTGCACCCCTACTGAGGCTTAGTTTCTCAAGCCTAGAGGATACCACTGAGACCTGACTCCAAGAAACCACTTCTTACATAAAATAGTTTTGGTGTGTTGTTCAGATGGTGTAATTGTGATGTATTGTGACCCATATTCTAATAAATTCAACATGCAGCTGCGCAGAACTTTTCAAGTCCCTGTATATTTCTTGTAACACTTTCTTCCTCTGCTCTTCTCCATAATCAGCAGCGATGATAAAACTTCCTGAGCTCGGCGGCTGCTCTGCATTGTTTATTTTCCCGCCTTTTCTTCTTTTTGTTTCTTCCCTCCTCCGCTCAGACCGACACAATGAGCGCTTCCTCTGCTTCCTCTACGTTTTCCTGACTTTCTAAACATGGGAAGCTCTGAAAAATGTCTCTGGATCACAGACCTCCAGTTTGGTATTTCTAGATCAGAGCTCAGCTAAAGTGCACTCCACTGTAAGGTAAAGGTCGGGTGTTCAGGTGGTTAACAGCAGCAGAACACACTGTATATACATCAAATATTGACATTAAGCAGATGTAATATAAAGCCTGTATTTGTCCCAAAGATAAAACCTGAACATCTGAATCTGTTAAGCGATCCTTTCTGATCCTGAGTGACCTGGAAACAGCCGAGCAAAATCATTAAAGTCATTTACAGCTCAGCAGAGTTATTATTGAAAGGTCACTGTGTATGACGGAAACAAATAACACACACAAATACAGATGGATGGAGCAGAGAAACAATCAATTTTATACATTTTCATCACTGCAGAGCTGCAAATGTGTTTCTGACTGCTTACAGATGACAAATATATAAATGTTTTATTTACATTATAATAAATATCCACATTATTTTATTACACATCTCTCCCTAGACATTTCTTTAAAAAATGAAGCTGCTTTGAAAACGTATTAACCTTTTTATTTCTCTCTCAAAAGCCTTCCACCTGAATTTCTCTTCATCATTGAGTTTCCTTTAATGAGCCCAACAGCGCCCCTCTGTGTTTAAACAGCAGACAGATGACAACAGACGCGTGTGGTCACAGAGGGTACTGCACCCTACATGCAGACTAATGCCACTTATTTTTCCGTCTCTTTCAGGCCTGCACAATCACAGTCTAAACTATTACCGCGATTATGTTAATCGTGATTATTTACTAATTTAAGTGACTTTTTTTAAAAACAATTCTGACCAATTACAGGCCTTCATTTAAAACAATAAGATTTAAGCTTAAAAGTTTGTGCTTTATATCATTACAAGCCTTTAGTTCACTCGTTGTTTAGCTCTGAAATCTGCTCATTAACACTGTGTAAAGTGAAAGCTCTATTCCACATACATGCTCACTCCGTCCCTCTGCTTTACTAACACACTGCAGAGTTTATAACCCACATCAACAAACTGCATTTAAAGGAACAGTGCGTAGAAAACATCATCACAACACGCCTGATGCTCCTGCTCTCTGTCTGCTTTGCTGCTGATGTTTCTCTGTTAGTTTCAATCATTAAGATACTCTTCCTCGTTAACATCATGAGGCAAATTAAGCAGTTTAATGTCTGTGAATAATTATTATCAGTGGGAGATAGACTGAGAGCGTGGGGTGAATTAAAGCTGCAGTAAGAAAGTTTTGGTATGTTTTGGTTTTTGGCCAAAATCCTGATCACAGTTAAATCAATCGTCCCTCCACAAACACGGTTTTCTTTTTCTTTTTCAAGTCTTAAAGTTCGGTTTCTTGAAAGTTTTCATCAGATCATAAAATAAAGAAAACAAAATTAAAGAAAAAGCGACAAAAAGTAGAAATAAACAAGTTCATTCAGGGTACAGGAGTATTTCTAAACACTACGGCTGAATATTTTCAGGATAACTCTTTATGTAAAATGATAAACTCACAATATCAATATCATAACGTTCAATTTCTCTGCCATTCAGGATAACTCATGAATACATAAAGTTTAGTTTTACTGTACGAGGTCAGAGATTAGCTCAGGTCCTGTTTTTGTCAAAGTCACAGCGCCTGAAAAATACTGAGCCGTATAAATCACAGGAGACACAACGTACGATGATAAATATAAATACAAATATACTGCATGTGAAAGGTGAAGTAGTTTGATAATCCATGTTCTGCACTTTCAAGAACACCCTGGCACTTCATTTTTCACTCGGTCTGTTTCTCACTACGTCCAGGTCTTCTGTTCAAAAGCAAACTGAGGTATTTCTTTATCAACACGTCAACGACCGCACCACAAAGTGTCCTCAGATCACCGTCACTCCTCCGTGGATGTGGACGGTATCCTGTTGTAGCTGCACACACATCAGTCCTACGTCTAAGACTATTTAGTGATATAAAAATGACAGAGAAATGAAGGAGTGGTTTTAGACTCATGAGCTGCACAAAACTCTGAAAACCTCCACGAGTGAACCCCGACAGCTGACGCCTCCACCCTGACTTTACCCGCCAGTTTCCTGTTAATTTCTGTGTGAAGTCGGGGTGAGCGAGAGTGTGAACAGAGCAGGAAATATCTGTGAATAAGTACGAAGAGGTGACGATACATGAGGGTTTCTGTCGCCCCAAAACAGCAACAAGTAAGAGGAGAAATAAAAACATGTGAGGTGAAAACAGGACGATGGTTTCGAGGTGCATTTGGACATTACTGAAAGGCATCCTGGGAAATGGACTGTGTCCTGTGAAGTCACTCCTCCCCCGTCTTCTTCTTCTTCTTCTTCTCCTCCTCCTGCTTCAGCACCTCCACAGTGAGCAGCTCTTCTCCTGCTTTTTGTGGCGTCATCCTGATGACCACCGAGCAGTCGGCGGACTCTGACACGGTCTCATCCTCATCTCGGACCCTGGGGCGGGGAACCGGAGAACGGCGATGCATCGGAGAAGGAGGGGGGACCGGGGAGGGGTAGAGGGGAGCCTGGAGGGGACACAAAGATGAAAGAAAAATCTCATTTTTACTCTGGACGTAAAAAAAAAGTGTTGATCTTTGAGGAAAAAAACTAAAATTTGATCATTTTTGTGTTAAACTGACAAAGAAGAAGAAAAGATAAAAAGTCAACTTTGCAAAATAAATAATGATGATTTGATTTATGATTTTTGTGTCAGCGGTGGTGTGGCGTCTTTAATCCTCTGATTAGTCTGTGTCTCCATCTTTATCCTCTCTGAGCTCCACCTGCTGGCCATCAGTGGAGCTGCATGAAGCCCTGGAGCTGCTGCTGCTGCTGTCTCACCTCTGCTGTGCCGTCTGATGATCTGTAAGCTTTCTTCAGTTTGGCGAACGTCCCCTCTATGCCCGCCTGCTCCGTCACCTTTAGCGCCGCCTTGAACATTTTCGGGGTGTCCGGTCTGGGCGGGATGACCGCCACCGCCTCTTTACCTCCACCCTTCTCCTCCTGCTTTATATCCTTCGTCAGCATCGTCCTGAACCGACAAGGAGACACAATGATTGGTCAAACCTCTGCAGCTCACAGAAATCCTCTCCTGTAAAAAAACACAAAAAACATCAGCGGTCCCGTACCAACAACTACAACATATCCATGCGCTCTGCTGCAGCACCATGATCACACTGAGGAGGAGATCAGCTGAGAGCAGGAAGACCAGCTGGAGCGTCGCTCCTCTGGTCTGACCCTGTCAGCACCATGCAGATTAGTCTAATCCTGCTCAGGACACGAGGGACAGATCAGACCAGAGGAAGACGGTGAGACCGCAGAGTGGAGAGGTGTTACTCAGGGTTCTTCTCCTCACGTTGACACGAGTATTTAAAAACTGTCGTATCAGAACCGAGCAGCTTCTGAAGTAAACGGAAAGTTCATGAAGTGGCAAACTACAGTTCCTGATTTCTGTCTTAAATTTGGCGTTTGCTCTGTTTGACCTTTTTGTTTTTGCTGTTCGCATGAAAGCTGCCTTTGTGTTGACATACTGTACATAGACAAACATCCGGTTAGATGTAGAGCACTGAGCAGAAAATCAGCTCATTAGGATTTTTGAGAGCAGAAAAGTCAAAGATGTCGAGTTCATCATTCAGGATTCAGGAGGAGCCTGAAGCACGTTAAGGACGGACATCTGTCTTACTTTGCCTTCTTGCGGAGAAGTTTCTGAGACTCCGGGTAGTGGACCAAGATCTCTGCGAGGTCCTTCTTGTCCAGGATGAAAAGGTTAGCAAACCCGTGCGCCTTCACATTGGCAGTGCGTCGATTTCCTCCGCCCCCCGCGAGCAAACTGAACGACAACATCAGAAACAGAGTATTTCAGACTTTGATGGAGGTAAAGGAGACGGCTGTGGAATCAGGTCGAACATCTGGGGCTGAGTGACTGTACTAAGAATAAATGAGACTCCTCTTCGACCCCATCCTGTCCAACATGAGTCCAGCAGCAGCGCTCAGAGACCACCTGCCCTTTAGAAACAGGTTAATAGGATGACAGGAAGCAGCACTGACCTGATCTCTCCAAACACAGAACCGGCTCTGATGGTGACAAAGACCGTCTGCAGGTCAGGACCGCCCACCACCTGGACCTCCCCCTGTTTGATGATGTACATCTCCCTGCCGATCTCCCCCTGTGGCTCACAGACACAGACAGACACAGACAGACACACACAGACCGGGTCAGTCACACTGATCAGGAACAGGTTGCCCTCTTCAGGCAGGTGTGTGTGTGTGTGTGTGTGTGTGTGTGTGTGTGTGTGTGTGTGTGTGTGTGTTCACCTTTTTGCAGACAAAGTCTCCTGGCAGGTAGACGACAGATTTGAGTCTGGTCAGCATGTCGAACACCATCTGTCTGTCACAGCCCTGAGAGTCCGAGAGAGAGAGAGAGGGAGAGAGAGAGAGAGAGGGAGAGAGAGAGAGAGGGAGAGAGGGAGAGAGAGAGAGAGAGAGAGAGAGAGAGAGAGAGAGAGAGAGAGAGAGGGAGAGAGGGAGAGAGAGAGAGAGAGAGAGAATTTATTTATCCCTGAAATTACAGGACAGTTTTCCACTCTGATCCAGTCCAGTGTTGTTCGCAAACGATTCGTTCAAAAGAACCAAATCTTTTAAGTGAACGTGCTGAACCGAATCACTTCCTCAAGTAAAACCCCGAATAGAAATTTGTGACTGTCTGATCCTATCAAGCAACACAGACAAACACTCTCCTCTCTTGGTCCCAGAAGCTTTGAACTGAACTGAATCAGAACCGTTCAGCTGTGTATCAGTTCAGGAGGTCGAAGTCGCAGGCTCCTCCCACCAAGCGCTGAATGATTCAGTGATTCAGTGAACAAATCTTTTGAACAAATCTCTTTATCAAACAGATTCTTGTGATTCAGTACATCTAAAAGAACTGATCACTAATCCGGTCTGTCTTATCGGAGCTCAGGCTCAGGAAAGTCCTCAGCATGTCTGGATTGTTTTTGTATTTGGGTTCCAAACGATGTAAGTCCAGGCAGTGATTTCCACTACAGAGCCGTGTCTATTTTTGATAGTGTTGGTTTTTAGATAATAGTTATATATCTTTGGTAAAACTGGTTCATATGTTCATAATATCGTCTTTGGACTTTTCCTAGTTTTAAATGATGTTTCGAATAAAGTTTTTTTTCTCTCCACATACCTGAAACAAAGCAACTTTACTGACGATGGCGTAGTTGACATCCACAGCGATATCCAGCCTCATTTTAACAGGAAGTTGCACCAGCAGTTCTTGTTCATCTGCAGAGACAAAAAAACAACAACTTCATCTTTTTTTATATTCTTTCATATCTAAAACCAAGAAGAAATGCTGCCTACACATCCTCCCCAGGGCTGGGCGAAACGGCCTTAAATCAATATCACGATATATTGATCAGTTCACCTCGATAACGATAAATAGATAACTACTCCACAAGCTGCTCACCCCCTCCCACATTAACTTCGTCTACTTCAGCCGCTACAACTTTTGAACCGTCCTCCATCTCCTCACCTGTCTGTCCCTCTTTGTTACTGACTGGATGGGGTGGAGTCACGTCTCTGACGTAGGACAGAGTCTTAAAGGGACATGAGACCATAGCCTACCTACACACATCCAAAAACAACTTTGATTTATTTTTTGACACTAAATATACCAATATGGGCAAAACGACTTGTTATTGTTCATAAATTTCTGAATCTGTAAGTTTTCAGCCTATCGCCCAGCCCTACATCCCTCTCAGAGTTCATATTCAGCTCTGTTTTTTCCTCATTTTGCTTACCCAGCATGCCCTGGCTCTTCCAGGTGTAGTCGTACCAGGTCTTGATGCGGTTCTGGACCTCATTGGGGATGTTGTAGGAGTTCATGTACTTGACGGTGCTGTCCATGCAGGCTCGGTAGTAGTTCTCCCCGGCTGTCGCTGCTCCGACCACGTCTCTCATCTGAAAACAGAAACCAGAACTGATTACAGTCCGTTTGTTGTTCATCTTAGTCCACTACCTCTCAGCAAACATGGCGGATATCTGACCTGACCAATCATGATGGAGAAAGCAAAGACGCCAACAAAGTAGTTGATGAGCTGGAAGCAGATCTCAAAGACGGTGGTGGGGTCCGGCAGTCCTCCGATGGTGATCAGAGTCTTCACAGCGAAGTAGTAACAGCGGATGTAACTGTGAGGCAGAAAAAAACGAGTTTTCTCACAAACTTTGAAGGAGTTTCTATGGAAACCACGTTAATGAGAGAGAGAGAGAGGCGGCGGGTTCTCACGCGTTGCCCTCTCCGTTGTAGACCCATTTGGTGGATCCCAGTCCCTCGTAGTCGGAGCCCCAGTAGAAGAGACAGGCGTTGATGTGCAGAGAGTAGAGCAGGTAGGTGGAGGTTCGGATCACCCTGAAACACAAAACAACACAAACAATCAGAAACCTCTTTTCTTTTACAAAAATCAAAATACAAAAATGTCACACTGCTCTTTTTTTTAACAGTCGACTTTAGTCTCGAAATTTAAATTTTTTTATCTCAGAGTCAAAATCTCTTAATTAATCATGACATTTTGCCATCTCAAAATTTCGACTTTATTGACATTATTTCAATTTTTTTAGTGCGAAATTTTGACTTTAATTTTCTTTCTGTAATTATTTTCTTCTCTTCGTGTTTCCTTTACCCTCTTTCATAGAAATGAGACCTGACTGTTCTGATGTCGTTGAAGGACTCACAGAAACCCAGATTTCTACTGAGGTTGAGTTTTATCTTCTCAATGAAAACCTTTCCTGCGTTTTGTATAATCACTAATCCGCTGAAATCTTTTAAAAATAGTAAATAAAACCACCAGGATGCAGCGATAAAACTCCAGTGTAGAGACTTTCTTTCTTACCTGTAGATATAAGCTTTCTTCATCACAGCCTCTATCCTGTCGTTGAACTCAAAGAAAGCCACATACTGACGGACACACGGAGAGAAAACAGACGTTAGAGTGTTAACAAAACAACAAGAACATTTGTTTCATGATCAGTTAAGAAATATTTTCATTGTTGTTGTTTTTATTCCCTTTCTGACACCAAAATTAAAGCACACAATGAAAAAAGTAAACGTCAGATGAGAAGCTGAAACATCCTGACCTTCAGCAGGCGAGGAAACCTCAGCAGAGAGTTGACGCCGGTGAAAAAATAAAATATCTCCATGGGGAACAGACTGATGATGTCCATCTGAAAACACACAGAAACAACCTTCAGAAAATGACGATCACAAAAGTCTGCGCACTCTGACGTTAAACTAAAGAGACCAAAAACTGAAACCTCACCTTAAACCTCTCAGTGCTCATGTAGTTTTCTCTCATTTCCTGTTTGTCACACTGAAATAAAAAAGTTAATGGTGGTTAAAAAAGTCGTGCGCGCTCGAACAGAAGCAGGTTTTCTTTTCTTTTGTTTTCTGGAGACGCCACTGACCACGATGTCTCCGCCGCGGACAAACTGCAGTCTGGGCTGAAAGACGAGGATGTCGGCGATGTAGATGAAGTCGCAGATGTAGTCCATCAGCAGCCACAGGTGGATGTTTTCAGGGGTTTGGTACGGGAAGGCCCAGCGGACGGGGATCAGCCACACGTTCCAGTTCCACGCCGCCACGACAAAGAAGAGCCAGATCACGTAGATCAGATCTGTGGAGATGAAACCGGGTCAACGAGATCCTGCTGCTCTAAGAAAATCGAATGTTTACTGACAGCCCGACCTCACAGTCGCTGCTCACCTGTAAAGGGGTCGATGCTGGAGGGGAAGCGGTACTCTAAGATCGCTCTCAGCCAATCGGGAAGCGCAGGAAGTTTGGGCAGTCTGGGAATTTTCACAGGATGTCCAAGAAGTTTAAAGGGGAGCTCCCACTCTTCCTCCTCCTCCTCCTCTTTTTCTGCAGCTGCATCGTCCTTCTTCTTCTCTTCTCCTGGTGGAGGAGGAGGTGGAGGCGGAGCTTTGCTGGGGGCTGCAGAGATCAGACAGATGATGTAATTATGTCGTGAAATAACGAGATCTGATGAAGACCCCAGAGTGAAACATGGATGACATACAAGCTAAAGGACTTTCTCCTTCGGACTCGTCAGGGTCCACCAGCCTCTCTCTCTGCTGTTCAGTCCGGCCTTTAAACAGTCGGACCAGCTGGTTCAGGCGGTCCTGGATCACCACGCTGCCGACGCTGGCTGCTGACTGAGGACGCATCCTGCAGGACAATGACCACAACAGGAGAGTAAACATCATGAGGAGGAGGAGGAGGAGGAGGAGGTGATGGAGGTTAAAGTTCAGGTTCCTCTCACTCTTCATCTGCAGACAGCAGGTCTCCCTGACTGGACCAGGTTTTCCGACTGAGTCTCATCAGCTCCTCGTCCTCCTCGTCTGCAGAAAGGTCACCTACGGGGCTGCAGACGTTTCTGTGAGTTCGGAGGCATCATCATGTGGTCACATTTATAAACCCTCAGTCTGACCCCGCCTCTTACCTCTGTGCTGACGGCGAGATGTCGCGGATGGTCAGGGTGCTGAACTCCGGTTCCGGGGTCGTGATAATTTGGGGGATGTTAAGGCCTTTTTCTGGACCCGCACCCTGATCCAGATTCTTCACCCTGAGCGCCAAACCTGCAAAAGAAGCAGTCGGACCTCATATAACGTCCTCTACCAGCGACCCGGGTTCATGTATCACGGCACAAACATCGACCTCTTACAGGATCACCTGCTGGGGGCTCATGGCGAGGCAGCGCAGAGCAGCAGAGCATGATGGGAGGATGATGAGGAGGATGTGGGATTGTTATGGGTCCACGAGGTTTGTAAGGCACTTCGAAAGGATTCAGTCTACAAGAGGATCCGGCGACTAGGAGGTGGTCTACGAGGAGGGTCTGACGGAGGAGGGCGGGGTTAAGGCTGCTGAGGAGGGCGGGACATGAAGGAGCCGATGATTCTCATGCAGTACTGCTGCGCCTGCTTTGAGAGCTGCGTTAGCTGCTGGGCCAGCTGGGAAAGCTCCGGCGGCGGGGTCGGCATGGACAGTTTAGGAGGGAGGAGGTGATGTTCGTGCAGCAGCTTCCTGCAGCTCTCCAGGTGCTCAGCGGCGTGCGGGAATCGAAGCAGAAAGCTCTTTATCGGGGAACAGCTGTGAGGATCTGAACAGAGAAAAGTTCGGACCGTGAGATCAAATCACTTCATCCTCAAAAACGTCAGAAACCCATTTAAACGTGTGAGTCTACGCCTTTAAGACCAGGTGAGACGCAGGTGTATAAATTTGGTTTTTGTATTTTTCCTTTTTGTTTTTAATTTCTAAGACGATGAGTGTTGACGGTCTGCAGATAATTCAGCGGTAGTTTTGGCGCCGTGGGCAGGTAATGAAAGCTCATCTCTCACCTCCACAGCTGGCTTCTTCTCCTGCTGCTGCTTTGTCCTGATGAAAAAACAGAAAACATTGAAAGTTATATTTGTCTACAGTTTTTATTTCAAGGGTTGACATGCTTCAGGTGTGCAGACTTCCTGAATCTCAACGCTGTTAATCCTGAGCTCATAAATCCAGACGGTCTGTTCTCTGCGTTAATTTTACTGTTTGAAGAAGTTCGATTACCGACATCAGTAAGTCCTTTAACCCCTGGACTTTAATGAAACAAAAGGTTCTTTCCTACTCCGACCAGCAGGTGGAGCTGTAAGCTCATTAGAGTTCATCAAAGTCTGATCACCTGACTCCTGGAGGCGGTCGGCTCTTCTGGTCCGTCTTCCTCTTGATGTTCTGCCACGGTTTGGGGGGCCGGACTCTCCGGGTCTTTCTCTTCTGACGCCGGCTCTGCAGCTGTCGGTGATGGGGCGCCGTTGTCTTCAGCTGAGGGAGCGTCCACGAGACTCCTGAAGAAGAAGAAGAAGAAGAAGAAGAAGAAGAAGAAGAAGAAGAAGAAGAAGAAGTCATGTGTTAATGGTGTTGAGGTGTTGAGGTAGAGCGCTGCAGAGAGGAAGGGTTTGAGTTTGTGAGGTACAGGTACATGAAGTGAATAAATGTCTTATCTTACAGCTTTGTAGTTAATTAACTGAAATAACGTTTATTTGATAGTTTAAAATATTTATGTCTAATATACAGAAACACAGAATATATCTGAGGAATCACTCAGATGTTGGACTCATTCATCGCGGGCTTTAAATATTCATCTATCTCCTCACAGTCTGTCCTTTTTTTACTCTGGGTAACAGACCGACCATCTGACGTTTACAGACCTCCACTCATCATACTTCATGATCCTCAGGTATTTGCTGAAGGACAAGGTACAGGAACCTGGGTCTAAAGATCTACCCCTCGAAAAGTTCCTGCTCAGAAGGCGTAACTTTTTAAAGCCCAAAAGCTCTTTAGGAGGCTAAATTCTGGTAGCGCAGACACAGAGGAGGAAAAGGAGGCCTAAATGTAAAACCTCTCCACCCACAGCCAGCTAGAGGCCCGTCTAAATGAACGTACCTGTTTTTTTTTCCTGTGGTTTGGTATACAACTAAAACTTTAGCTGCACAGGCTGAAGCACAGCTACCTTAAAGTAAAAGCTCAGTTTCCCGACACTGTGCGCAGGTTTAACAGCAACCTTCTCAGTTTAGCACGTTAGCTCGTATAAAAAACAAGAGAGAATACTGATACCTGGTAAATAAGAATGTTTCTGCTCTGACTGTCAGAGTCAAAACTGAACCCCATACTCTCAAAGTATCTCAAACAGAGTCCAGCCGAAAGATTGCAAGCAGAGCTCGGTCCAACTACACAGCCAGAAACACTCCTGATTTCCTGATTTTCCTAAAAGCTGCAGCAGCAGAAGCCAGCCGTACAACCTCAGAGAGCTACAGGGTTGGACAAAGATGGACTTACTGCGGGTCGTCCTCGTTTTCCTCCTCCAGGATGTTGGACAGACTTTCAAGAACAGACCCGGCAGTTACTAACAGGCGAGTCTGAACAGTTTGTTTTTAGAGGCGCTGATACAGAAGTCTGAATATTCGGGTCTGCGCTGGTTTTTAGGGGACTTACTGCTCCATGGAGTCTGTTGGGGTTTCGATGCTGAACTTGGCGGAGCGCTCCGACTCCAGCTGCCGCACCGCCTCCTCTGCCGCTCTTCTGGCCATCTCCTCTGCTTTACGGGCCGCCTCCAGGCACTGGCACTGCACTCTGTTTAACAAGGATGAGCTCGGATCATCACAGGAAAATACATTTTTTATGCAAACGCGAATAAAAACAATCTCAAATCCAATTTACAGTCCTGCTACAAGTTAAGATTTCTCACTCAGGATGACATAAAAAAGGCAACATGAAGAAACCAGACAGAGAAGTGTCAGACCTTTCCTCATCTTGAGCTGAAACTTCCTCTTCTTCCTCCCTTTTGATGTCCATCACCGGATCACACTGATCCACGCCGGTCCCTTTATCCTCCGCCTGCAAACAACGACAGAGACACGTCTGTTTTTGAGGGACACAAAGTATGAGGATGATAATACCGCCCGTTTAAAACCGATCAGCTCTGAATTCTATATGAAGTGGGTCACCAGATTTCAGGTTGGAGCGCTCAGAGGATGTCGAGAGGTTAAAGATAGAAGTAATTGGATTAAGCAGATTCACATCCCAAACACATCCCTCGCTGCAGAAGATTACAGGAGCTGCTCAGTCTCATGACTTCTGCTCTGTCATGTTTGTGGTTAGAGTCACCAAGAACAGAGAGACATGAATTCATCTGGATCTGTAGAGATGTCTCTTAAAGTTTGGCTTCACTTGAAATGAGGGTGTACAAAGGAAAAAAAACCTTTTTCTCCATCAGGCCGTCATTTAAAAATGGGCGTTGATGTGATCTCCTTGATTTTGCAGGCAGCCTCTAGTGGACACTTGAAGAACTGCAGTTTTACACCTCTTCTACATTTTCTGGATGTTTGATCGTGACTCACCTCGTTCACTGCCGACTGTAGATTTCCTTGCACCTCTCGATCCCCTCTCTCCTCTTCCTCCTCCTCCTGCTGTTGAGCATCTTCCTGCTGCTCCACATCCTCAAGGACCAAGTCAGTCCTCTCCTGAACGATACAGACTGAACACCACAAAACAGGAAGACCAGGACTGAGAAAACACCTGGCTCGTGTGTGTTTAAAACATCTACCGAATATGGAATCAACAATTTTGAGCCAAATATGTAAAAGTGATAGTGTGGAGAGGCAGGCGGCATGCGTGGCTCTCAACAGAAAAAGAGAAAGCACAATGGTTAATGTTGTTGTGTTTTCTGATTTGCTGTTGTGTTTTGCACCTCAGGGCCACCGTACAAATCCTTTCTATACTGTTATAGTCAGCAGCCATCCTCTAACCCTCTTCTGCTACCAATGTTCACTATTGTTCAGTAAACACGACGTTTAAATCCTTTTACTAACTCTTTCTTACGAACTGTTACACCTGACAGCTTTTTCCCCAGAAAACCAAAAGTCATCCACCTTCAACCTTGAACTGTCCCAGTGGGACTCTAGGGGGCGCTAAAATACAAACAAGGAACAACGCCGTACATAAAATTGTAACAACACAATGTTAACACCATGGTGAGATAATGAGCTGTGTGATCTCTCTGCTCTTTAGAAAACAGGTTTCAGTGTCCAAGATTTCAAAAAAGTGTCAAAATCTGATTTATGTGAAAACAGCTCGTTCCATCTTTACTGATCCAGAGAGAAGTCAGCAGCATCTCTGGATCAGGTTTCTGTTAAGGTCCAGTTTTAACCTGCTTTTACAGATACAAGGAGGGCAATAATATTAATTTTTAAATAAGATTCATTTGTCATTTTTCAGTTCTAGCATTTGATTTTTCATCATTTCTCTACTTTCAATCCTAAACCGTAATATTTTGGGTCTATTTGACGTGGCTGTCAAACCTTTAAAGAGGCACTCTGAATCATCCAAGAGGCAGAAAGAAAAGTTAAAGCGTTCAATTCTTTATAAACAAATCTTTATTTTTCATGAACACACAGAAAAATGCAAAGTACTGCCATGGGTTGTGATGTGTGCATTGCTTTTAGCTTCCTCTGTTTAATTAAAATCAGTGTTTGAATAAAAATATAATCAATGTCAACCTGTGGAGATCTGTACATAAAAGCGTCTGTGAATCTGGAGTCAGACAAAGAAATATAAATATTAACCCGTGTTTTGACCGCGGTGAAAAGATCTATTTGTGAGTTATTGACCAGAGTGTTTTTGTCATGATTTAAGGATGACATAAAACTGTGATGGATCTAATAATCTGGTGAATCTCATTTATTTTTCATGCTTTTCTGGTGTAAACATGTTTTAATTTATGTAAACAGAAATCTAAAATTACAAAAAAAAATCATTATTCTGTCATTTTTGTTAAAGGGGTTTATTATGCTTTTTTATATTTACATAAAACAATGTCAAGATACAAAGTTTGGTGTCCATATTGGATAAATGATGTAAACTGTAACTGTAAAACAAAGAGGGGGACGGGCCAAAACCTCAAGGCGGTCTCCAGAAAGTTAATCAGAGGTGGCCAATCAGCAAGAGAGTAGGCTTGTGGAGGGGGAGGGGCCTTAAAGAGACAGCAGCCAAAATGAAGCGTCTTAGATGGACGACTGGACGATTACATGATCGTGATCAATGATCGTGATAAACTTCAGTTCGATCACAGTGATCAGCTTTGAGCATATTTACTCAATCAAACATGGCGGTAACGTGCATGACGACAGCCAATCAGAGTCAAGCTTTTTCCGCTCCACTTATGTAAGTTACTGGAGATGTAAACAGGAAGTATGACCGAATGTGGAGATAAACGCGGAGATGTCAGCCATGACTTGAAGTCATGCCATAATTGAGAAGAAAAGTTATTCAACGTCGGTTGTGTGGCGGTGGTAGCCACAAATAGAGGTGGAGCCACCAGACTAAGGCAATCAATCGTATTATTTATGTTTACATGACATATTGTTTACATTTTAAGGCGTCTTCATTATCTCTGGGGGGGCGATTTGTTTATTTTGGGTCTATCATACCTGCAAAAACACTCAGGACAGTAAACTAGTTCACTGTATTTTCTAATATTTATCTACTTTTGTTGTACTGTTGAGTTAAAATGATTTTTTTTTTATTTTTTAAGTTTATTTTATCTAATCTGCTTTATTTACTTAATATGTTAATAAAATGTTGAACTAATCTCTAGTTTCTTTAGTTTTTAGAACAGACGCTTAAAAACTGACAGTTGAAAAAAACACAAAAAAATCGTGATAATAATCAGATAATAAGATCAGACGATATGACGAAATTTTCTGTGATTTTTTTGTTTGCCAAATCGCCCACTGCTACTCCAGAGTGAGAAACAGGAGTCTGTTTTTGATCTGAAAATCATGTGAAGATATTAAAGAGAAAATATAGAGTCTAAAAAAATGTAAGGAAATGTTTAAAGTGCATCACGGCTTGGCCAAACTTAATGCACTGCAGCTTTGTGAGGCATGTCTGGACTGATTTGCATTGTTTCTGTCTTTCGGTTGTTTTAAGAGTTTTTGCAGCTGTCAGTGTCAGTGTGAGCGACTCTGTCCGTCTCCTCCTTCTCCTTTTATTTAAGCGAGCTCGCAGCCTCTCCCCCCTGAAACAGAAGGAGAAGGGGAGCTCGGTTAGAGTCTGCCTCATCACTGACACCAGTCCTGCCGATCAATAAACAGCTCAACGTATTCATAGGTTTTTCTGTGGCCTCTGTGTCTGCGGCAGCTGCTATGTGGAGTAACAGGATATCAGAGCAGTGTGATACACCGGCTCACGTGTCGCTGTAAGCTGCAGGCAGTCAGACTTACTATTTTGCACCTGGTCTTTGGACGTGTCCTTCACTTCCTTTGTGGCGGTGTCCTTCACCATGTCTCTGACCGTGTCCTGCGGGACAAAGAGAAATTGTGAGAAGGCGTGATGTTTAATGCTGCTTTGCTGCGCTAAATTGGATTCATTACAGCGAGAGATAAAAGTCTTGGGACTCACCTGTCTCTGTACGGGCTGAGGAATTATGCGGCCGAGACCGCTGACGATCCAGTCCATCATCCTGACAACAAACAACCTCAGTTTAGGTTGGGAGAAGTTAAATAATCTTTATATTAGCGTAATAATAACTCGCACTTCTGTTTGTAAAACTAGTTTTGTAATGATCAGGTAAATCTGATCGTCGAGGTGTTTCTTACTTTGGCTGCTGCTCTGCTTCTTTAGGAGACCTGCAGAGACAAAGAAGGACAGAGAGGACTGAACAGAGGACCTCAGTTTACCCCGTTATCATAAATGTGTTTTTTAGATTCTATTTTAGCTCATGAAGATTTTTACTGGACTCACTTTTCGGTGTCAGCTGCCGGTTTTAGAGCTGGAGACGGTTCTTGTGTCTTTTCTGTTTGAAGAAATCAGAGGGTGGTGAAACGGTTAACGATATTTACACTTAGAGAAGTGATGATCTGAGGCTAACACAGAGCTGAGGGGACCTTTAACGGAGGCAGGAGTCTCAGTCTTCTCTTTGGCATCTGTGTTTGAGCGGACATGAAACTCCGGCTGCGGGACCACCTTCTCGATCCCCTGTTTTATCCAGTCGATCATCCTGTGATTCACAATAACACATGCAGTTAACACGTGCAGCATCTACTTTAAAGTCCTCCTACCCTCCCTCACTATCGATTGAAGACACTGATGAAGACGGTTAATCCATTCATACTGATCAAAGTTAACAGAAGGTGACACTAATCTTAAAACCTACTGAAAGTTTTGACCATCCACCCCCTCCTGTTCCTGCTCCTATGTCCACAATGATCCATGGATTACTTCAGATCTACAGTATGATCTCTCTTAAGTTGTCTGTGATCCCTCTTTACATGGAAGATCACAGTCTGGATCCTGTTTCTCTCTCAGATGATCAACCTCAGCATCGATCCACGTCATAAGGGTCAGGTTAGGGCTACACAATTTTGGCCCAAAATAAAATCCCGATTTTTTCTCTGAAAACTGGATTTTTAATTTTTGATTATTCAGTGTCAACTTCACCAAACTTCACTTTAATAAAATTTTTCTATCATCTCTCAAAACAAAACCACTGAAGACGACGTAGTACATATGCCAAGCCAGTAAGCGGCGCTGTAACGCTGCACAGGAAATGCACAAAAGACAGAAGAAGAATACAGAGCATGCGTATGAAGGTTGTTTTGGCGCCATAAAAGAGTTACGCTGTGTGTCACATGATCGTTTCCAGAGATGCAGATAGACATCCACACGGAAATGAAATGGTCGTCGTTTACAGATTTATTCACTCTCTGACCCGTTTTCAAAAAGTACGGTTTACAGTCACCTGAAACTCCGTTTCCGTGTGGATGAAACGACAAAAAACTTTAGCGTTTACTAGTGACTTGCTCTTGTCCTTTAACCACGAAGTTATCGCCTTCTTTTGCAAACGCCATGTTTGTTCACACTGGTGTGTGTGGGAACTGGGGAGCGCTCCCACAGGAAGGGGGAGCCTACAGTGGCCTGGAGGTGCGAGACATAATAGAGAGGAAAATCAATTTGAGGATTTTAATTTTTTTATCATCGTCATACTCAAATAATACGATTATGATTTAAAATCGATTAATCGTGCAGCTCTACATCAGACTTTTTTTTCACAGGTCATTGGGCTCAACAAGCGCCGGTCCTCTCAGTTCCCAGATGGATCTTTGAAGTATCATGACCTGTTTGTTTGAGTCTCGGCTCAGTGTTTACTGTGAATTGTCCGCAGAGGTTAACTCAAGTTTATATTCAGATCCTTGTAATGAGCATTAATTCACAGTGAGCCAACTTACTCCGCTTTAGACAGATGCTAATAAACGTTTAAAAGTGTTAATAATTAGCACACCTTAATGAAACAGCTGGGATTAACTTCTCTGTTCTCAAAAACAAACACATAGATCTCTGATTTGGAGGATTCAGGTGTTAAAAAAAAGTCACACACTCACACATACCTGGGTGGGTAATGTTTGACTTCAGCCTTTTCTTCTGGTTCTGGTTCCTTCACAGCAGCTTCAGGTTCTGCAGATGGGAGAAACCGAATCTCTGTCAAATGTTTGAGGTCTGAAATTTCTCTGGTGTGTCTGAAGGATTGTTCAGAGGGGCTCTTACCTGGTGCAGGTGCTGTGGGACACACCTGAGGAGAATCAGAAGAAGGGGTCACAGGACAGGCAGCAGCAGATTAAAAAAAAAACACTTTAAGGTGAAACTCCATCATATCGAAAGAGTCATGTTATTAACCATTAGTTAGCAAATGTTCCTCAAGTGATTTCCCACGATACAAAACTTGTCAGATCAAAAACTTTAGATAAATTAAAACTTTTCACAGTTTTCTTGTTTTTTCTTTCCTTGACTTTTTTGAGCTCTGCTGTTTTACCTCAGTCGGCTGCTCGGCCGGTGGCGGCGGCTCTTTGCTCTTCAGTTCAGGATGAGGAACGACCTTCTCCAAACCCTGAGCGATCCAGGCGATCATCCCTTTCCTGAGGAGGGAAACAGAAAACAGACTGAAAGACCACAGAGCGAAGCAAACTGTGAGCTGCCGTATGGTAGAGGAAGAGAAAAACAACTGCAGAAGCTTTAAGGATCTCTAAGTCTTCCTTTGGACAGATATAATGAGGATCATGTGTTCAGGGACAGACGAATGTGTGACCAACACATCCTGCCGCACTAAAACGAGGAGAGGGAAATATTCCTGAGTCACAGAGAGACGGTGAAATGTGAAGTTTGTAGTTAGGTTTGTATTTTCATCAAGCAGCTCACACTCTGACAAAAATAACCACCGCAGTTTGTATTCTTTGTCGTTCAGCTCAGACGGCTCCCTGAGCATTCACTCGTTCATAAGGCAGCTCAGTTATTGGCTTACTACATGTCAGTTGGTTCAAGCGGCTCCCTTTATAGGCTAGGTCACTATATTTGTACCTGTAGGTAGATTTGATGTACGCTGAGAGAGTGAGTCGGCTTTCTTTTCCACAAACAAACAACAACAACAACAACGATGTAAGAGGAACAGGAGAGACAAAGGGGGAGCCTGTCCTGTGGTAAACCCACTCATGACAGTTATAACTGATTAAACAGTTCAGCTCTTACAGTGTGTTACAGAGCTGTAATAACACTTACACTGCATACCAAACAAAAACAGAGTTACCACTCTCTAAACTGGTGATCTATATAAAATTTACAGTGAACAAACACAGTGAACAATGAGTTTAAGATTCCATTAGATTTTACATGATAAAGATCCACGACAAACTTTTTCAAATTATAGGAACTTTATCAAACTCTAGGAAATTTTTAAACCATAGGAGCTTTTTTAAACTCTAGGACCTTTTTCCAAATCAAAGGAACTTTTTCAAACTAAAGGAACTTTTTTTCAACTCTAAGACCTTTTTCCAAATCATAAGAACTTTTTTAAACCATAGGACGTTTTTTTAACTTCAGGAACTTTTTTTAACTTTAGGAACTTTTTTAAACACTGGGAATTTTTTCCAAATCATAAGAACTTTTTTAAACCATAGGAACTTTTTCAAACTATAGGAACCTTTTTAAACTATAGGAACTTTTTTTCAACTCTAGGACCTTTTTCCAAATCAAAAGAACTTTTTTAAACCATAGGAACTTTTTCAAACTTCAGGAACTTTATCAAACCAAAAGAAATTTTTGAAACAATGGGAACTTTTTTAAACTCTAGGAACTTTTTCCAAATCATAAGAACTTTTTTAAAGAATGGGAACTTTTTCAGACCATAGGAACTTTTTAAAAATTGTATGAATTGTAAACCTCCCACTTTCTTTCAAATTCTGAGCGACAGGTACAATAAAACTTTAAATTTTCCAGGACTCTGTTTAGAGGGAACTTTTTATCTGCAGCTTTAGAGTAGCAAGATGCCAAAACCAAGAGGGGCCAAGTGTACAATGATTGAGCTAAAGAGTCAGAGCAGCTTAACCAGCCTCTAATTTTAAATCTTACTACAAATGTTAGTAAAATAACAGTAATTAACACTCGTAGAATCATTGATGAAGGAGATACAACTCTTTGATTCAGCAAAGTGTGATATTAAAACCTTTGAACACATCCAAACTGAATATCCTCCACATATCTTAGCAGCGTTGTGAGCCACCCTGCTCTTCAATCAACAGGCAGAAACCCTAAACACAACCAAACTCATACGGCGGGGAGCTTTCTGCTGCTAGTCTTTCAAGGTTAGTTTCTCTGCATCATCAACAACATCAAGTCTTTCTTATTTGCCTCACACATTCACAATCCAGACAAACATGCACTTTGTTTACCTGCTTGTTGTAGTTTCTTCCTGCGAATGGATGCGACGGAGAGAGACATGAATGAGGAGACAGAGAGGACACACCGTCAGGGTTTACCGGTGAACTGAACCCTACATGAGTTCCTGTTTTAAAGTCTGATCCTTACTTGGATGGTTGAGTCGGCTCTCTTTAACTTTGGGGAGACTGCAGGTTGAGGAATAGCGTAGCTTATCCATCCTAACACACTGGGCTGAGGGTTAGTCGCCGGGCTGTGGACAGAAAACACAGATTTTCAACCTTTTGATTCAAAACCACATATCTGTGTGTTAATTAAAGCACCTATTTTCAATCATTTCCTGATAAGACCATCGTTATAACACCTGAAAGAATTCACTGATATGAACAGAAACAATAACACTCGGTTAGGATACAGCCCAGTACAATCTCTGCTTCTCTCTCTCAATTTAGGATCTGAGTGTCTGAGCCTTTTTGGACTTTTATCTTCGTCCGTAAAACTCACCTGCTTTCTTCTGCAGGCTGGACTTCTTGTTTGGATTTTTCAGCTGCTGTTGGAGCTGCAGATAAAAAAAGAAAAAGTTTGAATTTACCGTCAAAAACAGTTAAAGCAATAAAACAAAGTTCACTGTGGGAGGGATCTTACTTTCAGGTCTGCGCTCATCTTCAAAAGTCACTTTTTTCTGTCAAGAACACAATAATATCAGAGATTACAGACAAACTAGTATTTCAGTAGGACAAACATACGAACTCTGCACACTTTCAAAGATAAATCAAGTGTTTACATGTTAATAAGCTGTATTGGAGTCAGTGATGAAGATTAAAAAGCAGATGTTACTCACAGTTGTCGCTAGTTTCTCCTCCTTTTGTCCTTCGACTGTTTTAGGTGGCGGCTCAGGAAGCTGGGGACCAACTTTGGCCACCCAGCTCAACATCCTTGGACAGAAAAACCAAAAATAGAGACTGTTACTGTGGCAACAAGTCAAATTAAATCACCTGATTAACAAACACATAATTCAAATTCAAGAATTTAGTGTTTTGTTTTGTTTCCCTGCGATCGTTCATAAAAACAGTTTTTTCCTCCCCTCTGAGGAAAAAGGACACGGTTTGAGTGAGTGACCCAGTCTGTGTTGACCTTTAGAGAAGAGACTGCTTCATAAAATGACAATTCCTGATGCTTTTATTTTGACATTTCTCAAGTTTCGATTGCTTTATTTCCTGTGTTGTAGAAACAGCTCTTATTTTGAAATCATGTCAGCACTATTTCCTGAAGGTCGAGAGTTTCAGAGCTGAATAAAAACAGCGGTGAGTCTGCTGGAGTAAATCTTGATACCGGGTGTTATTGTACCATAATCATGTAATCACTGTGCGTTTACTTGGAGTCTGTTTTTACTGTCTGTTTTATGTCTTTGAATCAGCCCATGTTTGAAATGTCGGGTCCACATCAGCTCAAAAAAAAGTTCAAGTTTACATACCGGATAAAATACTCTGTTTACAACTGACCTGTTTCTCTCTGTACTGTGCTTAATGGTCTTTAGATCAGGTGTAGCTGAGTGTCACCCTCAATTACAGCTGACAAGCCATGACCCTAATCCTCTGCAGGCGGTCTAGCAGCAGCAGGGCTGCACTTTTGGACGTCTGTATATCCTTTGTACTGGTGTCCAGTTGATCACTTGCACTTTCCAGTAAGCTCTTTAATACTGTAGCGCCTTTCCAGTCAGTCCACCGTGTACCCGGCCAGTTAGTTTCACAGCTATAAAGAGAGAGTCTTAGATCACCGGATGAGTGAACTTGTCAGTGACAGTAATGGATTGGATAATTTGGTCGAGCTGATTATTGGTACGTCTCAGATTTAAATCTGAGCAGAATCGGCCAATTTATGATCGCTGTGTGTCAAATAATACAGCTTTAGTCATCTCCATCTGCTCCCATGTCAACAAAAATATTATTCATACCATCAGATTAAAATGAGACACTTGGAGAATAAAACAATAATGTCATCTGTATATGCAGCTGCTGGTGCCACAAAAAAAGATGGGATGGGATTTCAGGAAAGAAGAGAGCTGTGGACCCAAAACGTTTAAAACCTACAAATTTTAAAGACACCTGGAAATAAATTATCCTGTCGTGTCCATTCAGGTAAATAACTATGATGTATAATGATCAGGTGATAAAATGACAATATAACTCTCTAACCCTTCACCAAACTAAAGACTGTGTTTACTGGTGCTATGATAGTGTTCTCCAGTATCAGGCTTCATCAGATAATAGTTGACTTTAACAGAACTGAGCTAACTCACACGACACGTCTACCAACTCTTATTAAAATATACGATTTCTTCAGACTCGAACGCTGACAAACATTTACACAGTTTGTACAGAGAGACCAACTATCGGCTGATTATCTACAGGACTCTCAGCACTGAGCTGATTCTTTGTTCCGGCCTGTTAGGAGATAAAATTGATCAAAAAGCATCTGTTTTGGTTCAGCTGCCACTCTTCTCCACTTGGTCTGTTTTTTGACCCGCCCACAACTCTGTCTGATTGGCTGATAGTAACAGGATAGTTGTTGACTTCTGTAGAGGATGGATTTGTTGTTGTTGAACTAAATTAAACAAAGTTTGTCGCATTTCAATCTTTCTTTTTGCATTTCTCATAATAACTTATGAATTATGAGTCCCTCTGACTCTAACTCAGAGACTCAAATCCTGCACAGTTTCATGAAAATGACAAAGTCTGAGGCTAAAATCAAGTCTGCTGTCATGGTGAACTCTGCTGTAGAGACAGAAGTAAGAGGAAAGACTCCAAACGACGCCTCTTTATATAAAGGAGCCTTAAACTTGTTGGTACGAGTACAGATGATGAAGGTTTCTCTTCCTCTAAACTCGTTGAAAGATTATGTTAATCTAACCAATTTGCTTTAATTGAAACCATGCCAACCTACGCTCAGTGCTGCAGACAACTTTTCCTACCCCGGCGAACACCACAGTTATTTATCATGATGTCTAAAAATATGCTGAGGCTTGGTTATAGATCTTTCGTTCTCCAGATTGATCAGGATTAATTCAACATTAAACCTCGGGCTCACTGGATAAAGACATCTGTCATAGTTTTAGCTGCACCTCAACGTCACTACCAAGTTCTTCTGTTCGCTTGTATTTTAGAAGAACCTTTTCACTCAGAAGCACAAGAGAAAAACTCTAGTTTTAAGTTCTAAACATGTTTCTAAAAGATCTCAAAGCCAGCGGAGAAAACTTGGAATAAAATAAACAAAATTACCAAACACAGCAATAACCAGTCCCTCCTCTGCAGCGTTTCCACAGCTTACTGCTCCATCCATGAAGTCATATTTAGGGATGTGGGGCAGAGGTGTGAGGGGGAGTGGTCTGTCTGTCTGTCTGTCTGTCTGAGGTCTGGGGTCTCGTGTCTTACCTGAGTTGTTCAATCAGGGTCCATCAGCATCCCATCGAGCTGCGCTGCAGAAGCTGTGAAGACGTGAAGGGATCTAAACACTGTGGGAGGATTAGGAAAGAACTCTGCTAACAGGATTACTGGGGGAATAAAGGACAGAGAGACAGAAGGAGATGGGACAGGGGCTCAGATTAGACTCCCAAAAGCCGAAACAGAAAGGGAGCCTCGCCGGAACTGATCTGCAAGAGGGCCTGGTTACAAAACCTCCAATTTATCTTCTTCAGACAAAAATGGACCAAAATGTGACGATGAACATCAGTGTCGAACTCGAACCCTCCACTGGCTGATCCCCAAGTGTTTGTGGAGTATGTTGTCACCTCTTCCTCTTTTGAACAATCTTGTTTTTCTATATTTATCTAAGTGTTCATGTCAGACATTAAAACAACAATAGTATAAAAAAACACAAACACACTCTTATGGTTCAGATAATACATCTCACAGACCGTGTGTGTATGTGCTTCATATTCAGAGACTGTAGTTCTCGCTGGTTCAACAGCTGGCCTTGACCATGTGCTGCATTTTCCCTTTTTCAGCGCCACCTGTGGACAGACCGGTGCCTCTTATCTGGTTACTGGTTATGTCTAAATACATGTAAAAATAATAATATAATCATGCATGAAATTTAAATAAATAATTAATTCACTCACACAGTCACAGCTGTAAGTTTCATTCACAGTAATAGGCGTCAACTTTAATTTAACAGTCAATGAAACGCCCATTTAAAATCTTGACGAATACAAAAATTTGTCGTTATTTTTATCCTTTTTATCAGGTAATAACCTAATGAAACAGGTCCAGGTGTTAAAAATCAATACTCTAAAATAATGGGTTCTCTCACTGATGGTCTGTTTCATTTTTAAAGGTCATCAAGTGACATCGTTGTGGATTTCAGTCATTCAATAAAGCTCCTGTGAGGAACTTTTTATTCTGTACATATCTCAAGCTGTTTCCTGAGGCTGTGATGGATGACATGTGGAGGTCCAGAATTAGACTTTAGAGGGTTTCCGATCAGGAAATCGACCTTCTCTGTGTTTTATCTTCTCCTGTGTTGTGACCTGGTTTTACCTCATTAGTCATATGTTCATTTTTAGCTCTCCTGATGCTGTTCAACTTCATAACTTCTGTTTGAATCATCCATGTTGTCTCAGTTTCTGCGTCTGTTATGGCTGCTCTTGTTTTGCTTTGTCATATTACAGGATATTTCACCTCCTTTATGCTCACACACTCTCTAAAGTCAAATTTTTTCCTCTGTAATTCGGGACACAAATACATACAGCATCTTAGTATCTCATTGTCAATGTTTAATACCCTCTCAGCAGGAAGCATACTGCAGCAGCCCCAGGTTAAACTGTTAAAGTGGCCCTGAGGAGGATTAAGGTATAATGAGGTTAAGTCCAGCGTCAGCAAAACAGAGGATTTGGACTCAGGTGCTCCAGCTACCTGAGCCAGATCACAGATCTGACGATACTTCAACGCAGGTTTGTTGGACCGTTTTCTCTAACCGAGGCAAACTTTTCATGTCCAACATCACAGAAGACAACATGTTTATTTAACATCAGCAGGGAGGGTGATTTTAACATTATGTTTCCAATATTTCAAAATGAGACTCAAGTTTTCAGTTAAATGAAAGAAAAAGACACTAGAATAATCACTGGAATAATGTTTTATATTTCTACACTGAAAACACACAATTATGTCTGCTACAGGTCAGCTGATCACAAATACAGCCTCTCATTGGTTACACAACAAAACAAATATGGCAGCCACCACCTAGCAAAGCCAGCTGACGACAGAAAGGGCAGAATTTTACTTTAATTTGTCCATAAATCATCAGATTTATTCTTTTATTCTTGGGGGGATCCAGACTGTTCCTGAAAATACAACAAAATTTGATTTTGTCCTACTGTTGTATTTTTGGACATGAACACGTTAATATTCGTGGGTGAATCCTGGTGGGCCCAGTTTGAGGTAGAACCACTGAATATGGTGTGTGGGCGTGGACCACTTGGCCGGTGGCACCTCTAAATTTGTATGATTTTGTTTTCTGCTTAGACTAGAAGAAAAGCCTTTGAAAAAAAAAAGTTCCCAATACAGATTTGTTGTTTAAAGTTCCTTAAAAATATAGGCTCAATTCTTCTCACCTTTAAAGCCCTGAATAATCCACACCACCATGTCTATAAGACCTCACAGTCCCTGTTGTTTTTACTGAATGCAGGCATGGCTGTGCCGACTCAGGGTAAGTATAATCAAACCTCTGCACTTCGACATCTACTACCAGTCAGGGTCTTAAGAAGCAGACACCCTCCCTACCTTTACAACAGGCTTAAAACTTTCCCTCCTGAAACAGCTTACAGTCACGTTTGGCTTCGGCTCAGACTGCTCGAGGACTCGACACACGGAGCTCCAGTCCCCTCCTATTTTTACACGTTACATCCCTTTAGTGTTTGTTTTTAACTTTGCATCT